GAGAGTAAGTGGCTGGTTCAGCAGTGTAGGGGATTCCATCATGTTTTATGGACACCCTGCGTCTCTAACAAGTATATCATCTATTTATCTGAACTCAAACTATTTATCTGAATTGGGACCAACCTGAGAACAGTTCAACACATCGTTGTGGTCCATTGCCGTCGGAGCCTCTTATGTAGAATGAGTGCTCCCTCTCAAGATTGTCACCTTCGCATATCTCAAACAATGGGATTACGGTATGGTTACGGTATGGTTGTGGTACTTCGAAGCTCGGAAAGAGTTCTAACTCACCTGAGTGTGGCATGCATGGAACACCGCTCTCAGACGATATTTGTAGAGCCCGATCATTTTTCGTTCACCGGCCAACAGAATGAGATCGTTGAAGAGGAATATCGTTCGTTCCTCGGTTTTCTCGGTGGTCGATGAAATTTTCTGAAAAAAGAACGACTTACAATTAGTAGAACCGTTGGGCAAAAAAGGATAGCTCATTGATTGTTTGCGCTTTTCTTATAGATCTAGCGTTGTAAATGCAAAAATTATATTTCATGGACAGATGCTACCGGTTTTTTCTCAAATCGATCGATATTCCAGCCGCAGTCAGGTCTACCTAGTTCAATGGAACCAGGGGCAGACTGATGGAATCAGCATTAAATATTTGTAAGAGGAGGAGCGGCCTATGATAGCCTTGCAATCGACACTGACTTAAAGGCACGGTACTGGGCACAAAAACCACAAATTAGAAAAGAAAGAGTATACGGCTGCATCGACCCAGCACAAGACAGAGGTTTGAACTAAATAGAAGTGCCGTGATCACTAGATTGTAGGGCCTCTGAGTACGCCAAATCAAGAGATAAAGTCAAGGGTTCTACTTTTCTAGAACTTTAGTGAGCTCTTGAGAAATGCAGTTATAATCCACGGAGTAAAAGCATATCGTTACCTGTAGCGTGCCGGTTTTGAGCAACTCTCGTCCAGGTGACACCAATGATATTGAGTTTCCTAGCTGCTCTTGTACCTCAATCACTTTTCCAAAGCCGTCCTAAAAGCATGCCTGATTATCGAGATTCCAAGGACTGTTTTGGCCAATTTCAAACACGGCTATATCAACCCTATGAACCACCGTAGATGATTGTGGGCTCTCGTGGCGAGCCACTGTTCGACTGATGGGCTAGGTTTTTGTAGCTACCGGAATGTATAGATTGATTCCACAATATAACCTTATTAGAGCCATTGAAAGGCCGTGCCTAAGTATGGCTCCGTACTCAATTCTAGCACCTTCAGCCCATGGACTTGCGAAACTTCAAAACTGAAAAAAGCACAAACTGACCAGCTTCTTCATCATCTCATTGGCATGAGATGCGGCTTGAAGAACGAGTTGAAGAGCCAAAGCAGTGTCCTCGTAGTCAACATCTGTTTCGAGTAGGTGTTTCTTATACTCCTAAATCAAAAGGATATCTTGAGGATTCTCCAGCTCGTTGCATAAGAGAACCAATTCCAACCTGTAATAGCAATTGGTATCGCATGACCCTTTGTACAGGGCAGATCAAATGATGAGCGAGAGGGAGGCCTTCACATTCGGGAACTTTCTAGAAAATTCTTTGATTTTCCAGAAGCCTAGCAGTGATCAAGTGGATATGAAATAAAAATAGTAGTAAAAATAAATATTGTCTAATATTGTCCCAACGTACTTCAATCTCCCGTACCACATCGGCGAACTTCTTCTTCTTTTTCAATTCCTCGAAAATTCGTGACGCTCGTTCATAGTTGTTAGTGTATTCGGAGTACATTTTCAGGAAACGGTGCCTGCTTACGGACCACATTTGCTATCCTGAAATCAAATTCAAGATAGAACAAAATGCTAAGGCTAAATCTTTGTGAAAATGACTGAGGTAGGCGGCTGGAAAATGAGTCCACGGTCCAGGGTCAAATCTCGGATCGAGCCTTACCCAAACCAATCACACCAAGACAACTGAGTAAAGTAGTAAGACAAGTAAAGCAGTTGTATCAGATTTTTCTAGAAAGGAAGAAAACTTTGGCTTCCAAGTTGGAAGGCCATAGACCTCATTGGGAAGTGGCCAAATCGCATTCAAATGCTTCTACGATTTCAAATAGAACCGCATTGCGTGGCGCGTCCGCAAAAGGGAATTTAGGAATTTATCAACGCGGAATGCGCCATCGTTCAATTCTTTTGTAATTTTCATTCACCAGAAAATTATATAGGCGCAACCCAGGCGGAGGTTGGGTAAACGCCTCCTTTGATCTGTAGGATAGACCCCTAAGCAATCACAGATATGGCACCTCCTTGCACGGAAATAGCCCGGCAAGGGCACTGGGACCGCGCAAATCGGCCTGAACCGCTTCAGTTTGCCCGTCTGCAGCAGGCTGTTGTCGCCCTCTCATCCGTTGCGCTCT